AGTGTAATAATTATTATTTCATAAACACATTATTCTATTATAACCACATATGTATAATATTATAAATTTTTTAAATAATCATATATATATATATATATATATATATATATATATATATATATAGTTATTATATATTTGAAAAAATAAAATAATTAAAAAATAGTTACATTTTATTTATTTTGTTATATATATAATTTCTATATAAAATTAATATATTCGAATACACAATAATTAAAATAGTAAGGATAAAATAATTTAACAAAAAAAAAAAAAAAAAAAGAAGTTTCTAGCAGTTGCATTTTTATTTTATTTTATTTTTTTTGTTTTTTTATAGGAGGTTTATATGAATTTTTTTTTTTTTTTACAATAATATATATTAATTATAATACAAGAGAATATATATAAGTTGTGAATTATATATATTTTTTTTTCAAGTTTACAGAAAAAAATATATATAGGAAAAAGTGTTTTTTTTTACAAATTTCAAATTTCAATTTTTTTTATTTTTTTGGAATATATTATAAAATCAATGTTATATTGAAATATACAAGTTTTTTTGAACATTTAAAAAATAAAAATTCATATACATATTGAAAGAAAAAAAAAATATATATATATATATATATATATATTTATATTTATAATATCTTTTTTGTTACATAATTTTAAAATATTTAGTATTCATATGTTTATATATATAATTTTTTGAAGTCATTATATGGTAATATCTTTTAATTATAACAAATTAATATATACACTTTTTTATATTGAATGATAGAATATAATAGAAAGAAGAAAAGATGTTACCTAATTTTTTTTGAATAAGAATGTGCTTATATAAAATTATGTTGGTTTTATATATTCTATTAATGACCTTTGGATATATTAATAAAATATATAATATATTTAAATAAAATGTAATAATATATATATATATAATTTTGACCTTACATATTTTTTATATATATTTCGAAAAAAAAAATGTGTGAATAAGAAATACATTATTATTTTTTTTTTTTTTTACAATATACACTTCAATATTATATTATATATATATATATATATTTATAATATGTAAATTAATATATAATTATATTTATATATATATTATATTTAAGTGTATATTCTAAATAAAGGTACACCAAAATAATTAAAGAAAAAAATATTATTTTAGTTAAAAATTATTTATTACAACTTGCATAAAAGAAGAAACATGCATGCATTGGTATCTTTTACTTATTAAATATTTTATATTTTCATACTATTCTAAGGATATAAAAATATGAACTGAAATTATTATCATATAGTAAATAAATAGTTCAGTTATTTTTACGAAATAATCTATTCAAAAGAAAAGTACTAGCATGTGCATTGTTTTTCCTTGTATATAAAATTTGGCGATTTCTTTTTTGTAGGTTTATATATATTTTAAAAAAATATATTTTATTTTTATATGATAAATAAAAAATATAAGTATTATAAATTTTAAGTTGCTAAATGAATTTTTAATACTCTTATATGCAAGAAACATAAAGTTTGTTTAATTCATACATTATATATTTGTATTATTAAAATAATTTTTAAGGTATAAATTTATACAATATAATATAATAAATATATATATATATATTTATATATGTGGAATAATACAATACAACGAATTTATCATCCATTTTGCATATCCATGTGGTATTTTAATCATTTTTATATTAAGAAATATATATATATATATATATATATATATATATATATATATATATTAATGAAATATAAACACTCTTATAACTTCATAGTAAATGAATATAAAATATATAAACTTAAAATAATATATCATGTACTTATATAGAATTGTGCACAGCGAATATTCTATTTTTTTTTTTTTTTTTTTTTATAAAAATTTTATATAAATATTAATATATATATTATTAATTACTGAATAACTGAATAAATAAAAATCTTTAGTAGTACATTATAAAAAACTATTAAATCTAAATATAAAACCTCTATTCACAAAAAAAAAAAAAAAAAAAGGATGATAAAAAGTATATATTCTTTTAATTTTTTTTATTTGTAGATTTTGTTTTACAACAACTTGTTCATTTTTAATAAAAAAATAAAATATATAGAAGTAAGAGTAGAAATTGCACTTTTTATTTGAATAAGAAATATGTATATATATATGTTAAAGAGTTTACACATTTCTACCTTGATATTTTAATTTTTATCCATAACAAATAATGTTATTATGTATAATATTTTAAGAATATAAAAATATAATTGTATTTGCGTTTTTCATATATATGCCATAATCTTTACACAAAAAAATATAATTTAAATTTTTATTAATGATTGAAATTTTATGGTATATTATAAATAACTCTTTTTATAATATATATATATATATATATATATATATATATATACATACATATGTTCATATGAAATTGTTCAGGATGTAATTATATAATTATTCTAAGAAAAAATTCTCTACAGGTCAGAAAAAAAGTTCTTTCCTTAAAATGATTATAATAAACAGTATTGTCATTTATTTATTTTTTCACTACACAAATACACACAAAAATATATGTGCATGATTATAATTGTAATGTATATTTTTCTATGAATAAGATTAAAACGATAGATAAATGAATATATATATATATATACTTGTTTATGTTCAATAATACAAAATAAATGTAGAAGAATATATATTATATTACGCAGATGTTTATTCATATATGGCATAATAAACATTCCATAAATATAAACTGGCTTATTTTAAAAAACTTTTATTTTCCAATGTATATATTACTGTTCAAAAAAATTAACGGTTGAGCAAAGTTTTATGATATAAAGAAATAATATCGTAATGTAAAAAAAAATAAAATGAATAAAATTGTACTTAATAATATTTTAAATTATGAAGATATATATATATATATATATTTCTTTTTTATAATATTTAATTTGTATGATACAATACCTTTTTTTTTTTTTTCTTCTTTTTCTTTTTCATTTCCTCTCTTGTTATTAAATATCATTATATATAAATTTATAACTTTGTATTTTTTTGTTCAGATAATTTGCTTTTATTTATAGTTTCCTTATGTATAGCTTTCTCAAGAGCTATGAAAAATTCTTCAAGAGAAATTAAGACCTTGTCCTGATTGTTATTTGTGCAATTATAAAATCGTAAGGTCTGTAAAATTAAATTCCAGTGATAAGATAATAATATATAATAAAATATTCTAAATAAATAATTAATACCAACTGGTTACTATGTATATATATATATATATATATATACAGCGTGTGTATGAATATGTTTATTTCTTTCTTAGTTTATTACGGCTTGGCAAAAATAAGCATAAGCTTGAAAAGGTATTCTTCTCAAACACCTTCCGCTGAAACCTTCACTCAGTTTAGCGCATTTTAGTAATGTATATCCATTGCTATTAATAAATAAGAGAAAAAAGAAAAAAAAGAAAAAAAAGAAAAAAAAAAAGAAAAACAAATAATTTTATATTATTTCTGTAAATATAATAGTCTGTTAATTTTTTCCTTTTTTTTTTTTCTTCTTTAATTTTTATTACATGTATTCTTCTTTATCATCATCCTTATAACTCTAATAAATTGAAAAGTATATGTATTTTATTTTTTCTTAAATAAAAATATTAAAAAATATATATTTTTATTTATTCTTTTTGTTTTCGTACGTTTGTTAATTTTTTTGCTCGTTCATAATTTGGTATTTTTGTTGATAAACGAATAATTT